GAATCATAAGTTTTTGTATTATCGGCATATTATCTCTATATGATACAACCATACGTTGCATTTTTATACAATATCAAATTAAATAAACGCTGTGAGTGAGCAAAAAAAACAACAACAGTCACAAGTGAAAACAAATATCATATAATTTAATATAGATTTAACAAAACATAAAAATCGAAATTGAAGAGACAAGTTATTTGATAATAAATAATATAGATATCGAAATAATTGTATGTAATAGCAGGAGTTCTCAATTCTCAATTATTTTTGATTATAATTTTAATTAAAATATTTCACTCCAATCCTTTGGTATCTGTTTTTTATTCCTTCGTCCTACGGGTCGTCTATATCTAAAACTCTGGACAATTACAATTAAATATTAGTAATAGTTCCGAATTACAATGTTAATAAACAAATTAAAAAAATGTCTATTAATTTTTTTTCTAGGTTCCTGTGGTTACATGGAAGAGCGCAGTTTGCGGATGTCGCCACTGTTGTATTACAAATTATATTATAAGATTTTTAATAAAGACAGTTTATGATTATTGTCAAATAATATTTAAACCTATCCAGAAAAAATCAATAATCATTAAAAACGATTTGTATGGCTAACATGGTTAACGTAACAATGGACGTAGGATTTAAAGTTTCTAGGAGAAATACAAAAAATATCTGCGTTACGGACCTGTGCCGACTTGCAGTCGTAAAATATGCATGGAAACGGAATTGACTGAAAAATTAGGCCGGCGTGGGTGTTTGCGCGTTATAGACACAGGTTGTAAATCAATTTTTCAATATACGCCTACTCCAGACTAACGGCGTGCCCAAAAATGTGTTTCTGTTGTGTATTTTTTGCTCATGAAAAACCGCCTTTAGAGAAAACCATTTACCTGCCCGATTAGAATTACGTTCGTCTTTTCTCATCGTAAAATTACCAACCATATCGTTCACCACCTGTATGTTCTAAATTACATCAGATTATAATAATTATAATTACATTTTTTTGTTAAATCTTATTATCACATTAAATATGTATTTATAAACTGTACTTTTCCCCAATACGTAAAATATCTTTTGAGTTTTTTAGCAATACAGATTCTCTGATTTAATATTTTATAATTTATAATGGAAAACAGTAAAATTATGATTACTCTATGAAAAACATCGCTTTAATTAAGAAAATCCTACAGTTCTTTCCACTACGTTTATTGCCAGTATTATAGTGTGATTTGACCTGCATCGGTAAGGTCATATATGTCACTTTCAATTAAAATTATCTAAATTATTATTAGGTAATAATTATAGAATAGTTAAAGAACCTTCTTCTCTGTAAATATGGAAATTTATGTTCGTAAAAAGGTTCATTTTATCAAACAATTCTACTTTAGAAATGTCCATTTCTTCTTTGTCGCTTAAGGAAATTTGCCAATCATTGTAATATACTTTTTGGTGCTCAGATGAAGGTGCAATGGGCTTCTGAGTATGCGATTATCATTGTCGAATTCACATTACCATCCATGCCTCTTGATGATCATGAAGTTGCTTATTGGTTATCGTTTCTGTAAATGCCAAATGAAAAATTTCAGCTTCTTTTTCATGCCTTGGTTTTTTATTTTCTTTTTTTTTGACACGAGAAATAAATAAGATATGAAATAAGTATGCATCTACTAATGTATTGTATCGTACAAATTGACGTTAGTAATCATTAAATTTTTACCCGCCCTACCCAGGTTTCCTGCCCGGCATCGCTTTCAATGATCACGTGACCCCATGAATACGATTTATCGAATTTACCAATTTTGACGTCACATAGCGTACATCTTAGGGATATACCGTTTCACGGACATCCTTAGGACGTCTCAACAATATACGATGTTACTGATTGGAACGTCCACAGTATATCAGATACGTATATCGAGTTATACTAGTTGAGACGTCGCACACTGGGGCAGGAGAGCTCAAAACTTGGCATAAATTCTCAAACGTAGTAAATATTTAAAAAATGACTAATTTCATATAAAAAAGTTGCCTATAAAAAGAAATGTTATTCCAAAATCTATAATAATAGTGCACATATTTAAAAAAAATGGGTATATTTTTTTGTAAACTTTGTATCATAATAATGTGGCTCAAAATATACTGTTAATATTGAAATCATATAATAATTATTATTAGTCATCATAATCGTCACTATTATGATTAAAATCATGAATATAATAATTATTAGTCATCATAATCATCACTATCATCATTATCATTGCTGGAAGACGGGTAGATGTCATCACTATCAGCATCATTGTCTGAGTCCAATGGTTCTTCGTTGTCAAGATCTTCATTATCAGGTGGGGGTGTAGATACTAGTAAATCCAGAGCTTCCCTTGGCAAACGTTGATATTTTTTTGTCAATATCTTCTTCTTGCTTGTTATTACAGGATCTGAGCTCAATAAAAGTAAATTGAAAATATCCTCATTGGATTTTTTACGGCTACATAGTGTTCTCTATATCTTTTAAAATCCTTGTTTCGCGCTTCTTGAGCCTCTTCGGTTAATTGGCCAATGGATAGTAAAGCATGGGCTAGTATTTCGGGTCCATGAATGAGGAATTTGTGGACTGTGGGGGGCATGTGGTACCAGGGGTACTTCTGCGCAAAAAGTCTTGCAGTATCATGTGCGAATTCTCGGAACTTGTCGACATTTATTTGTTGACCACTAGAAACTACTGTTAATATTGTATGCATGAGCCTGATCAGGTTGATATCAATATTTGTAATTTCGGCATAGAGCTCAGGGTTCTTGAAAAAGCGTCTAGCGGTATTCCCGTCATTCGAGTTGCCAAAACCAAAACAAAACAAAACAAAATTATTAACACTGCAAATTATAGTACTCGCTCGAGTTTTTCACAAATATAAACGAAAATGAATATGCATCCGAAAACACTAAGGCAAAAACGAACATACGACCTTCAGGGCAAACTACTTTTGACTGAGCGTGGCAAGTAGATATAGCGCGCTATTGGCCTAAGGTGTTTGTTTTATTGTAGGCATATATATTAGGAATACGAATAACAATATGGCGATTTTCTTATTGATATTTCATATATTTACTTTATGCCAAGTTTGGAGGTCATTGGCCCCAGTCTGCGTCGTTAGTATATCCGACTGTGAGGACATAGGATCTTATATAGATATACCAGTGGACCTTACTTAATTATTTGGTTATTTCCAACAGCCTATGATAAATACTGGAAAGGTAATGTCCAGTAGTCCGATTGGTTGTACGACTACAAAAATTCTGTCCCAGTATTTGGTACTCGCGTGTGATTTAATTAACCTATTGGGTACGGTTGGTGAAGTCATCACTGGAATAGCAGGCGATATTTGAAAAGCACTAGTTTTTTCCAAATAATTTTTAATTTTTAATTTTGCTTTTGATGGTAAAAGTGAAGGGCTGGCGATTGATACCATGAATAAAACACATTTTCTACACATCTGATTCTTTCTGTTTTAGATATGAAAAAACCTAACCTAAAGTATCTTAAAAATAGAGTAAGATACTATATCTTGAACTTGAAAGAATAAGTAGTATTTGACAGGTTTTCGGTCATTCTTTAAGGAAAGTAGTTTTTTTCTCACTATTTTTCAGCTATAGAATTCTAACATTCTTTTGATGCTTGTGATGAAAATATTTTAGTTTAGACAGGTTTTACATATCTGGTACATGTTGATCTTAGATGCTAATCTCCACGATGATGTAGGATACAGATAAGATCTCTTTTATGGGGGTAGGTACAATCGTGCTCAAAAAAAACTAGAACAAATATGACTTTTCAGTTTGACAGTAAATGCCTATTTTCATGCAATATTTTTTGTGAACCTAACAATTTTCCTAGTTTTTTTTGTTCATGATGGTACCTAACATCACTATGAAAACAAGCCTTAAGAAAATAGGAAACGCGTCTGGAATTAATACTTTGCTTTTGAGGGGTGATTCTTGCATCCATTTTAAGAAAAAATATACTAACTATAACAATATAACTAAAAATATAATTTTGTTCTGGGGGATTTTCTCTAACATGTTTACTTAAATAAAAAATTTAACTGCTCAAAAAACTTGAAGAGAAAGTGGATTTTATATTTTAAATCGAAATGAAGAGAAAGTGGATTTTATATTTGTGTTCAAAATTTAAGCAATAATGTAAGAAAAGAAGTCTAAAATCGAAATGAAGAGAAAGTGGATTTTATATTTGTTTTCGAAATTTAAGCAATAATGTAAGAAAAGAAGTCTAAAATCGAAAAAGATATCTAAAACGGTTACAAAAAGTCAGTCTTATCTTAACCCATTGACCGGATATACTGGGGATATTGTGCGGTGTCTGCGTACGCAGCGAGATGCGACGTGTCGAAGGGAGTACGAAAACCTTTTTGCAGTCGAAAAATGTATTTAAGAATTTTATCTTCTAAAATGACCCAAAATTAAGGAAACCAATATATACAGAAAAACTTGGAACCTTATTACATTCACCGTATATCACTCCATCGGTATCCGTTAACTTCGGCGCTCCCACACCCGAGCGTCGCTGCATCCTCTCTAACTAGAGTCCGGACTTATCACCGAACTGGTCCAGAATCTCATTCCGCCGCTTCCCTCCAGCTAGCGCCACCTGTCCGCTTCTTACGTGCTACGCGATCTCCCACTACCCGTAAGCGCCACCCAGATCTCGTTGCGGCCTCGCGATTGGCCGGCGCTCGTTGGCGCGGACCGCCACGGTTGGTCTCGAGCCTGCAACGAGCTCCGCCTCTCGCCGTTGATCGGATATCTCTCGGGGTAAGTGACAGGTCCCACCCCCGGGGATGTGCTCCGGCACTACAGAGTCCGAAGCAGCGGCATAACGGTGCTAGTCTCGCGAGATAGAGTCACGGGAACAATCCTATCGGGAAATGGCTACGTTGAACTAAGAGTGTGTCGCCTGAGACCGTCTACTACCGTCACGTGGGGTCAGGGATCGGGACGTTGTGACACGTGTGTGGGGTTTTTGTTATTTTTTCATTAGAGTTTCGTTGGTTTTCGGGTCGGACCGGCCGCGGCGGGAAAAAAGGGTTCGGAGGATAGCTGACGGGAATTCCTACAGTGGTAAATATTTTTATCCAATTTAGGCGCGAGGGTTGAAGGTTGTTGGCGTACACCCACCTGGCAGATTTTTCGAAAATAATATTTCAGGGAAATATCGGTTCTCCACATTTGATTTGCAAAATAAAGTAAAAAGACCAAATAAAACAAAAGCTTGGAGGTATTAAATTTTAAGGTTTTTATTGCACATGTAATATTCAAATTCGTTGCTTAAAAAAATCAGAAAAAAGTCCAAATTTTGAAATTTTGCTTGTTTGTTTCAAAAAAAAAACTTGCTAAATTTAATAAGTATATATATAAATAATAATAATATATAAATTTAAATAGAATTATAAATAAATACCATTTTTACTATCTTAATTATTACTAAATTTATTTACGTACTTAGTTACTATACTATACTAAATTTGTAGCATAAAATGGTAGATATAAAAAAGTAGGTAAAAACATAACGAAAGTCCAAATTTTGAAAAAAACATTTTCTTTTCCATTTTCATATTTTGCCTAATAAAATAAATGCAGTGGGGTGATTTAAATAGAAAATAAATTTAAATAGCTATAAATAAAGGATGGTATTGCCATTTTAATTATTACTCAAAATTATTTTCGTACTTAGTTACGATACTATGCTAAATTTGTAGCATCAAATTGTAGATATAAAAAAAGTATTTAACAACATAAAAAAGTAAGCACTGCAGAGAGTCTAAATTTTGAATTTTCGAATAAAAAAATGTTGTTTTATAAAAAAATATATTTTGCTGTTTAGCAGGTTCTGGCAAGCTTAGTAAATTACAGCACATTGCATTTTTACTATCGCGTTTCAAAATACAAAATAAATGCAGTGGGGTGATTTAAATAGAAAATAAATTTAATTAGTTATAAATAAATAATATTTTTACTATTTTAATTATTACCAAAATTATATACGTACTTAGTTACCATTCCATACTAAATTTGTAGCATCAAATGGTAAATATAAAAAAGTAGGTAAACACTGTATTGATGTGGGTCCAAAAAATTGCCTCACATCAATAAATTTAATTTATTTTTTTCTCGTCAGTAGTTTCTCTAATTCGTAAAATATTAAAAATACACCCGTTCTGTCCAAAATTATCCATTATTTTTGTTACTACTAATAAAATGAATGAGACCGGTCTATGTACATTTGATTGGAAAAATCAATGCCATTTTATTAAATTTTAATGTAATTTTTATTTTGTTATTATTAAAAGCAATACGTACCTTTTTTTTCTAAATTCATAAAATAAATAAAATTAACTACAATTTAAAGCTTTACATTATTTTTTTGTAAAATTAATATGTTATTCTGCACCTACGTGTTAAAATGTTAAAAATTAAATTAAGTATAGTGATTGTCAACTAAAGCCGGCGCACGAACGTCGACAAACAACATCACGTCAGCTTCCTCTCCACCGGCCCTATCGCCAAGCGTCAGTCCGTTTTTCTCTCCCGCAGTTGAATCAACAGCCCCAAGACGCGGTCGGACGAGGCAACGCCGGGCGTCCCGACGCCGTCTCCGTGGCCGACGCTCAGTCTGGAGCTGGACGCCGCAGCAGCGTGGGGGCGGAAGCTCTACCCCCCCGGAACGGCACCATCCAGGCCGGGCGCTGGGCTGATGTTCGGCCTTCACCACCATCAGGACGCTGGCGCCGGTACCCTTCACCATCACCATCAGCCCCGCGGTCCGAGCCTCAAAGAGGAACCGCTGGCTAGGGGTTGGATGCAAGGAGGGGTGGCGGATCAGAACGGGTGAGTCACTTTCTCAGCCTCCCATGTATTGACGTCCTCTCTGCGGCTGGATTTAAGGGAGAAATACTGAAAATTGCAGATGTTTGATGGTGAAATTTAAGGGCACACCACAAAACTATTTGACATATAATATATAGAAATATGGACTGTTCTAGGGAAACGTTTTCCTATTATCTTTAGACTGCATTAATAAAGTCAATTTTAAAAGTTCTGACCAATGAAAACTAATGAGCATTAAAAGCGCTTCGCTCTCAATATAAGTGAGGTTTTAGGTGTGGTTCGATAGTTAAATAAAAATACTTTATTCAGACGTTTCCTTTGGTGAACTACAGTTGGTCAAAAAAGTCTACGTACACGTGTTTTTCAGTTTTTTTTTAGTTTCTTCTTTCACTTACTATATATCGGAAAGCTCATTAAGAGTAATAAAAATTCAAAAAATTAATTTAGTGTTCAAACAAGCAGTAAAGGCAAGAGTTGTTAGTAATAAAAATTAATTGGACAATACGTTTTATGGTTTATTTTCTTGTAGTTATCAAGTTCCATTGCAACAGAAATGTCTTCGCCTTTGGCTAAAAGAGTTGACGAAACAGCTAAACCGTGCCATTCGATATTTACAAGGAAAAAACACCCAACTTTTAAAAATACGCTTATTCATTTTTAATAACTCAAGGCTCAAGGCTCCGCACTGTACTCTCGGTGTGACTTGTATTGTACAGTCGGTCAAAGGTCTCCCTACAAATAGTATTTTTTTCAGTGTTCATTTTGTTTCTTCTTTTACTTATATTTAATGAGAAACATATTTAAAATATATATCGGCAATCTCATTAAGAGTAATAAAAACAAAATAAAAACCATTTTAAACACTCTAATTAAACGATAAAAAATAAGGCAGTTTTAGAAGCAAGACACTATGTCAAGTAAGTTTCTCTACAATATTATTTCCTATGATAAATTGAAAAGTTTCATAAAGTCTAATATTCTGTACAATTGCCATATGGCGTTAAGTCTTTTTGGAAGACTTGAAACAAGCTTTCTTGTAACTTCTCTCGATATGCTTTCCCACTCTTATTATATTTTAGAGGTCTTCTTGATGTTTTTTCACTTGTCGCTCTAATTCTTCTCACATCCGGAAATTGTGGTGGTGTATGAAGTTGTCATTATGGTTCATCCAGTGACGTACAAGCGTAGCAGTGTGTTTAGGATCGTTATCCTGTCGGAATAAATAACGCCCCTCAAGGTTAAGTTTCTCAACAATTTGGTTTTAAATTATTCTTTAGGACAGTCATTTTCTATTTTCAGAGCTATTTTCTTCCAAACTTTATCCCGATCATCTGACCCAAAAAGATTAATATTTGTTTCGTCCCAAAGCTCCCTGGTTTTGTTAATGTGTTCTCGGGGAAATTCCAAACATTTTTCTTTTCTAATTCTAATCTGCAAGTTTGGAAGCACTTGTTTTAAAATTAGTTCTAATTTTTTTCACAACAGAAGTCTCTTCTCCTGGGACGACCAGAGCGTGGCCGCACTTTTTAAGAATTTGGAGACTAATTTGACATAGTTTCATGCGTCTAGAACTACCTAATTTTTTATGGTTCAAATAAAGTGTCTCAAATGGTTTTTATTTTTGTTTCTCTTAATGAGATTGCCGATCACTGGTCTGCAAAAAAAATTTTTTTTTCTCTCCTTCTTGTTTTCATGCATGAATTCATCTTATTTTATGCTCTAAACACGGAATCTGATATACAAATAAGTACCACACGTAGGTTTTTAATTTATTATTTATTTCATCAAAAAACAATATTATTAAAGTATAAATTGTTATAAGTAAATAAAAAATGTGGCGGCTTGAGTTTTACAGTAAAAAATCCTAAGTTATATTAACAAAAGTAATAAATATCGTCAGTTATTTCATTATGGAGTGGATAGAATTCAAATTATTTATTAGTTGTTTTCCTCTTCATAGATTCCATTGGAGTTTCTCGGTGAATTGACCAACAAAAATCAGCAAGCATTGGTGCTGACCATTTTCCATTGTAGCGTTTTTCAATTTGCATTTTATCCTGATGAAACCTTTCACCATGCTCATCTGATACAGCTCCAAGATTTTCAGGAAAGAAATATATAAGCAGAAAATAGCTCCCGAATGATTTGTTGATAGTTGTCATTCTTTGCGTTCCCAAGAAAATTATGACACACCTCCGCAAACGCTACCCAAGCTCTTTTTTCTGCTTTGCTCAACTTCGAATCAAAAACCTCATCCTTCATGAGCTCACGTATCTGCGGACCTACAAACATTCCTTCCTTCAATTTCGCGTCACTTTATGCGAAGGGGTGGCAGAAAAATTTTCTCGCAGGGCACTAACGATTTATGAGAAACATTTTTAAGTCCAGGAGTCAAACTTTTTCTTGATGGGCAGGTTTTTACTTTGTAATGTTTGTCTCTTGCGCGGCTATCCCACTCACAAAGAAAACAGCAAAATTTTGTGTATCCTCCTTGTAGTCCAGTCAGTATAGAGACAACTTTTAAATCAGCACAAATATTCCATAGGTATTGAGAATATTTAATTTTCTCAAGTAATACCTCAAGGTTTGCATAATTTTCTTTCATGCTTGTAGCATTGGCAATGGGGACAGATGGTTATTTATTACCATTATGAAGTAGAACGGCTTTCAAGCTTATTTTTGAAGCGTCAATAAAAAGTCTCCATTCACTAGAATCTTCTGGAAAACTTAGTTCTTGAAGAAGCCCTGCAACATCATTACAATATACCAAATCATTTTCTTTGGAGAAGTAACTTGTAAAACTCCGAGTAACTGTGCCTTAGATTTTGAAAGTCCCAAGTCTTTAACAAGATCATTTAAGTCGCATCGTTCAAGTAAATGAGGTTCTGTAGATGGGCATGAAGATCCAGATAAAGCGTATGAAGATGTCGATTAAGATCGTAGACCTGAAATATTTTTATTTTCAGCCTCCACATTAACTGGTGGAACTGGAGGTGGAGTGCCTTTATTACGAGGAATTGGTTTCTTTGCAGATAGGAAGTTCGGATAAACAATCTTATCTCTATTTTTTTTCGAGAATCCTCGTGTAGATGTCATGCAGAAATAACAATCATTCTCCTGATTTTGAGGCTCACTCCAAATCATTGGCATTGAAAACGGCATGGATTTGTGACTTTTGTCAAGCCAACCTCTCAAAGTTCTTGAGCAGCTATTGCAGCATACTTTTGGCAACCAACTTTTATCTTACTCATCGATAGAAAATGCAAAATATAGCTTATAAGCTGTTTTAACCAGATCGGTCATGACATGTCGCTGTGTTTTTAGTATGTATTCCCCACAAATGTAGCGAAAACAATCTGAGGAATTTTTACAAGTCCGTGGCATTTTGTAACCTAAAATCACATAAAATTAATTTTAAAACAACTTTCAAACTCCTATTTTATATTTATTGGCTCTACTTAAAAAAAAAAACTCAAACTACACATCAAATACTTATATCCAATGTAGAGAACATGAACTTTATGCAAAACTTACCAAAATATTTGATATAAAAGATAAACAATTAAACGACGTTTTCACTGAACTGTTGTAGTGTCACAATGAATACTGCGCGTGAGCGTATTTACTACCATAAAAATCACCTTCGGCACTTTCCTCCTTTCTCTTACAACTCTCTGAAACTCATTTTGTATGTATATTTACTTTTTGTAACGTTGACGAATGAAAAAATTGAAAAAAAAACCAAATTTTGAAATATAAAAAAAAATCTAGACGTGATAGAAAAAATCGGCCAACGGGGATAGATTCAAAACGTTTAAATCACTATATTATATATTTATCATAAACATCTTTAAAGGAGGATTTCAATGCCAACCAGTGATATGCTTGAAATACATCACTTATATTTAAGAAGAAACTAAAAGAAAACTGGAAAAAATACTATGGTTAGGGAAACCTTTTTGACCAAGTGTAGGTATAATACAAGTCACACTGAAAGTACAGTGTGGAGTCTTACGGGGAGCTCGGATGGCACCCATAGCAACGCTGATGTCGGGCACTAATCATGTCCAGTCTCGCCGCTAGGGGCGGAATTTGATCTCAACATGTTTACATGACCTTATTTTTATGTACAGCTAATTTCTCAAAAAACTGATACGATTTGAAAATTCCACTTAATATTTTGAGTTATTAAATTTTTTTTAAAGTTGAGTGCTTTTTCCTTGTAAATATCGAATGGTTCGGTATAGCTGTTTCGTCAACTCTTTTAAGCCAAAGGCGAAGACATTGCCATTGAAATGGAACTTCATAACTACAAGAAAATAAACAATAAATGTATTGTATTACTGTTTGTTTGAACACTAAACTACTGTAAACAATTAGATACATCCTTTTTGGTAAATTTTTGAAGATACCTTGCAAAACATGTATATTATGCCTAATATTAGATATATGCGTATTAGAGTATTCAGTATTTCATTGTATTGTTTATCGTTGTTCCCGAAAGTTTTATCACTCAACGTTTATTTAAAAAGACAATTTTCAACTTAAAAATAATTAGATACAGGTAAATGCAAGAACTGTAACAAATTTAGAAGATGGTTGATCCTTATCAGCAGGGGCTCAATATTTTAACATAAGTATTATAAGAAGAAACACTTGGTATCTGCATCAGCACAGATATAAAGTTTTCTTCAAGCGTTTTGAGTCAAAAATAATCTTCCATGCAGCCTTTTCACCATACTTTTTCGATTGTGTTGACGTCAGGACTGTTACTTGGCCGTGGTGAGGTTTTAGTGTTGGCATTTTGGTGCAGTTATGTAACGATGTTTGCTGTGTCGACAGGACGGTTCTCATGTTCGAAAAAATAATTATTGTCCGAGTAGAGCTCTTCCACACTGGGCACCATGTCAATAACAAATCTTCCCCCAATCCGCAATACCACTCCCACTCCTGTGAATGAAATCCATTCCCATACATTTACACTGAAACAGCCTGCAGCT